ACGACGACGACGGCCACGCCGACGGCGGCGACGCTGTCCGACAGCCTCAGCGAGGCCCAACAGGGCCCCAAGACGTCCAAGAGCGCCTCAAGAGGGCCCGAGATGGTTTGAAGCTGGCCGAAGAGGGCCTTCAAGAGGCACAAATCGGCCCATTCCCGTTGTACAACGTACGTTTTCAGCATACTTGCTTGCTTGGTCCTCGCAGTGCCCCAGACGCCCCCGAGCCCCAAGACAACCCAAGAGAGACCCAAGAGGGCCCACGACGGCCCAAACGGGTCGTCCTGTGAGGCTCACGGAACCCCCAAGACGGCCCAAGAGGCCCCGAAGTTGGCCCAGGAGGCTCCCAACACGGCCTCAGGGAGGCCCAAGAGGGCCTCGTTCGAAATCGTATTCCCAGAAGATTCTCCGGGAACATGATTTCCTGGTTCCCAGGACGCCCAAGAGGGCCCTAAGACGGCCCCGAAAAGCCCTAAATGGACGTTCAAAAAGGCCCGGGGGACCATAGTTCGTTGATTTGCGCGAGATGTTGTTGAATTTCTTCCGCGCGGAATAGACGGAGAGGGCGAAGGAGGAGGAGGAGGGGGAAGAGAAGGAAGAGGAGAAGGAGGAGGAGGCGGGGAGGAGGAGTGGAGGGGAGGAGGGGGGGAGAGAGGAGGAGGCTCGAGGGCGATCGACGATCGGCGACGACGACCGGCGACGGTTATTGACGACGATGACGACGACGACGACGACGGTCGACGACCGACGACGACGACGACGATAGAAGACGATGACAACAGTCGACGTCGCCGATCGACGAACGACGGCGACGACGACGACGGCCGCGCCGACGGCGGCGACGCTGTCCGCGTGCGCAGAGCCACCCTGGACCCAGTCTTTTCTGCATCGTTCGAAATCCTGTCCCCGGAAGCGTCTCCGGGAACATGATTTCAGGAGGAGGAGGAGGAAGAGGAAGAGGAGGCAGATTAGGAGGAGGAGGAGGAGGAAGAGGAGGAGGAGGAGGAGGAGGAGGAGGAGGAGGAGGAGGAGGAGGAGGAGAGGAGGATGAGTGGGCGGGAGGGCTCGGGGCCGATCGACGATCGGCGACGGTGATCGGCGACGGTGATTGACGATGACGACGACGGTCGTCGACGGCGACGACCGACGACGACGACGACGACGATGGACGACGATGACAACAGTTGACGCCGCCGATCGGCGAACGGCGACGACGACGACGTCTTCACAGTGCCACCCCGAGGAGCCCCAAGACGGCCCAAGAGGGACCCAAGATGACCCATGATAGCTACAAGCCAGCCCAAGAGAGCCCCAAAAGGCACCCAACAGAGCCACAACGGGGGCAAGCAGAGCTGCCTATAGAGATTCTCGGGGGGCCTCTTCCGCAGCGTCCGAAATCATGTTCCCCGAAGCCTCTATCGGAACATGATTTCCGGGTTCCCAGGGCGCCCAAGGGGGCCCTAAGACGGCCCCGACAAGTCCTAAAAGGACGCCCGAAAAAACCCGGAGGGACACAGTTCGTTGATTTCCGCGACATGTTGTTGGATTTCTTGCACGCGGAGGAGGTGGAGGAGGAGGAGGAGGAAGAGGAAAGGAGGAAGAGGAGATGGACGGGGAGGAGGAGGAGGAGGGAGGAGGAAGAGGAGACGAGGGGGGGGGGGGAGGGGGGGGAGAGAGAAGAGGGGCGGGGGGAGGAGGAGCGGAAGAGGGATTAAGATGATGATGATGGTGATGATGATGATGCTGTGCTGATGTAAACGAGTTGATGGTGAGATGATGCTGATGATGATGACGATGATGATTGATGAAAATGGGGAGGGTGGGGGGGGGGGGGGGGGGGGGGGGGGATGAGGGGGAGGAAGGGAGGAGGAGGAGGAGGATGAGGAGGAGGTAGGAGGAGGAGGAGGAGGAGGGAGGAGGAGGAGGAGGAGGAGGGGGAGGGGGAAGGAGGGGGAGGGGGAGGCGGAGGAGGAGGAGAAGAGGAGAGGAGGAGGAGGAGAAGGAGGAGGAGGAGGAGAGGCCGAGGAGGAGGTGGTAGGAGGAGGAGGAGGAGGAGGAGGAGGAGGAGGAGGAGGGGCGGAGGAGGAGGCGAGGAGGAGGAGGGAGGAGGATGTGGAGGAAGACGAGAAAAGGAGGAGGAAGAGCAACAGGGAGGCCTCCCCGAGCGTTCCCTTTTTATCCGATGTGGCCCAATGCTTGCGCGGCGTCGCAGTGCCGTTTGGCGAGCCACGTAGTCTGAGCAGGAGGAGGAGAAGGAGCAGGAGAAGGAGGAGTGAGAGGAGGAGGAGGAGGAGGAGGGGGAGGAGGAGAAGAGAGGAGGAGGAGGACGAGGAGGAGGAGGCGGAGGAGGAGGAGGAAGAGGAGGAGGAAGAAAAAGGGGGAGGGAGAGAAGGAGGATGAGGAGGAAGGAGGAGGAGGAGGAGAGGAGAGGGTGGGGAACATGATGAAGATGATGATGGCGATGGTGATGATGATGCTGATGATGATGATGATGAGGAGGAGGACGAGGAGGAGGAGGGGGAGGAGGAGGAGGAGGTGCGGGGGAGGAGGAGGAAGGGGATGAATAGGAGGAGGAGGGGGGGGGACTGTAGGAGGAGGCGGAGGAGGAGGCGGAGGAGGAGGAAGAGGAGAGGGATGAGGAGGAGGGAAAGGAGGAGGAGGGGGGGACGGGGGCGGAGGAGGAGGAAGGGGGGAAAGGAGGGGACGATGGGGGAGGACGAAGAGTAGGGGGAGAGGAGGAAGAACAGGGGGATAGAGGAGGACGAGGAAGAGGTGTCGTTTTCGGCCGCCTCGGGCCGCCCGGGGGCGAGGGGCGCCCAACAACTTTTCGAACCACGACCGCGAAACTCGACGAATAATCGAAGTGCATTCAGCCTTCAACCTCCTCGTCCGTTGTTTGGCCGTTGCCCCGGGCGAAGCTAGAACCTAAGCGCGCGCGTGGCGCGCGCGTGGTTTTAGTGTTTTTATATATATATATATATATATATATATGTGTGACCCTACCACTATGGTTGGAAGGGGGGCGGCTTGGGAGGGATGAGTCTTCGAGAGGCCGTGGGGGAGCCCTACGCAAGGATCTTAGATGCCCACCATGGGACCACTATGTGGCCCGGGGGGAGAGGGAAAACAAAACCACAATGTGGCCTGCCCCACTCACAGGAGCGAACTTGGGACGAAGTAGCTTGGGACCTGCACTTCGTCCCCGGGCAGCAGCACGACAGAAGATATGTCTTTGCCCTTGTATAAAAAGAGGAACAAGCATCGTCCTGAGAGCACAACCCTGCGCTAATGCTTGCGTAACGCCGCGTAAGAATCGCGTAAGGTCAGGCCACACGGCCGCTCCTGAGGAGTCGTAGCCCTACCAGTAACTTCGGGCACAGTCGTCCTGAGAACAGCACCCTGCGCAAATGCCCGCGTAGTGCCGCGTAAAAAACGCGTAAGGTCAAGCCACGCGGCCCCTTTCCGCAATATTCGTGACCCTACCACTATGGTTGGAGGGGACGGCTTGGGAGGGATGAGTCTTCGAGAGGCCGTGGGGGGGCCCCACGCAAGGATCTTAGATGCCCCTTGCCAGGCAGCGCGAACCCCACGCCCTCGCGCAAATGCCCGCCAAGGATGTGTAAGCAACCGCGTAGGGTCAGGCAGACGAGATCCGAGGCTCCACTGTAATGACAGACAGTGCCGGCTGGCCGGCTGCACCCGCTGCCTTTCCGTAGCTATTTGTGCTCAGGCGTGGCTCGAACTCGAGCCTCAAGGCCTCGAGCCTCTAACGAGCACGGCGGCTTTCTGCGATCTGACGAACACGCAGTGGATTGCGATGCGACCCGCCAGCCAAAACGGCACACCGTGGGATCGCGATGCGACCCACCAGCCAAAACGGCACACCATGGGATCGCGATGCGACCCACCAGCCAAAACGGCACACCATGGGATCGCGATGCGACCCACCAGCCAAAACGGCACATCATGGGATCGCGATGCGTCCCACCAGCCAAAACGGCACACCATGGGATCGCGATGCGACCCACCAGCCAAAACGGTACACCATGGGATCGCGATGCGACCCACCAGCCAAAACGGCACACCAAGGAAAGCACGGGGACCACGATGTCGCCCAACCCGCACGGGGCCACCATGTGGCCCACCCGACTGGGACCACGATGTGGCCCAACCTGCCGAAGGACCATTATGTGGCTTGGGCAGGGAGAGTGAAATCAGCATGCCCCACTGGGACCATGATGTGGCCCACCCCCACCATGGGACCACTATGTGGCCCGGGGGGAGAGGGAAAACAGGACCATAATGTGGCCTGCCTGCCCCACTCACAGGAGCGAACTTGGGACGAAGTGAGTGGGCTGTAACTTGGGACATGCACTTCGTCCCCGGGCAGCAGCACGACAGAAGATATGTCTTTGCCTTTGTATAAAAAAGACGAACAGGCATCGTCCTGAGAGCACAACCCTGCGCTAATGCTTGCGTAACGCCGCGTAAGAATCGCGTAAGGTCAGGCCACACGGCCGCTCCTGAGGAGTCGTAGCCCTACCAGTAACTTCGGGCACAGTCGTCCTGAGAACAGCACCCTGCGCAAATGCCCGCGTAGTGCCGCGTAAAAAACGCGTAAGGTCAAGCCACGCGGCCCCTTTCCGCAAGATTCGTGACCCTACCACTATGGTTGGAGGGGACGGCTTGGGAGGGATGAGTCTTCGAGAGGCCGCGGGGGGGCCCTACGCAAGGATCTTAGATGCCCCCTGCCAGGCAGCGCGAACCCCACGCCGTCGCGCAAATGCCCGCCAAGGATGTGTAAGCAACCGCGTAGGGTCAGGCAGACGAGATCCGAGGCTCCACTGTAATGACAGACAGTGCCGGCTGGCCGGCTGCACCCGCTGCCTTTCCGTAGCTATTTGTGCTCAGGCGTGGTTCGAACGCGAGCCTCAAGGCCTCGAGCCTCTAGCGAGCACGACGGCTTTCTGCCCACCACCGCCCACAGCACCGTTTCTACGACAATGGCGAGCGAGATTGCGCCTGACTGCCTGGAAGCACTATCGCCTCGCATGTGTCGGGTGGTACACACTGTGGCGAAGCGGAAGACTCACCCGAGCACTGTTGCTCGCATCGCTGCGGCGCTACACGTGTGCAGCATCCTTGCGGCAATCGTTTTCTGGGACAGCGAGGAGGAGTTCATGGCTACAGCGACAGGCCTCTTCGACGAGGAGCTGCAAGTGCACGCGTCAGAGCTGTGGCAAACAGCCAGCGCCGAGGCCGACAGCATCGTAGCCGCCTTGGCCCGGATCGCATACGTAGCACGGAAACACTCCGCCCCCAAGGGAAACTCCCACGACGAGAGCGACCAAATGGACGAAAACAAGCACCGTGCTTCCGAGAGACCAGGCAAGCGGTGCCGAGCCATTCCAGCAGCGGTGCCGCTCTCTGCTTCCGCAGCAGACGTGGAAAAGAGCAAGCTGGAAAACGCGCTGCAGCTCGCTTTTGCCCTAGCCGACGACGTCGGCATGGCGCAGCCAGATTACGGCAGATCAAAGAAAGCGTGCTTCCAGAGGCCGAGCAACGCACCCCATTAAGGATGTTGTTTCTACAACAGGCCAAAGTTCCTTCTGCACGCATGGGGCGCATTCGGGCCGTCTGCCGCCTCAGGAGCGGGGGGCAGTTCGGCACAGATCAGCGCGAACGTTTGGATGCGCAGGTGAAGGAGTACTACCACATCGTCTGGCCTGCGCAGTGGCTCCCGGCCAACAGGCCCATGGGCAAGCTCAAGCGGATGCACGAGAAACACGCGGACTTCGTCCCCCGCCTCGAGGTGGACGTCAAGAGCATCCTCGAGAAGGAGGTCGACCCGCTGTTCAATACGTTCTTCTCCAAGCAGGGCGGGGTGCAGGCCGAGGCCGAGAGCGCCCGCGCGCCGGTTCAGGGCTTGACCAAGTTGCGAGAGCGGCACTTCCAGCTGATGATCGCCTACAACCAGGCGGCCGCCCCCGAGTTCGAGAACGCGTCGCTCACCGTCCTGCTCGAGCACCGCCAGTGGCTCATGGAGAAGATCATGGACGTCAAGTGGTCGCCGGAGATCGTGCGCGATTTCCTCAAGGCCGATTTCCGCACGCGCACCAAGTGGATGTTGAGCTGGCAGCGGAGGGAGTTCACGACTTTCAAGGACGTGATTACCCACCACCGCGGCCAGAGCGCCTACCTGTTCTCAGACGCCGGGGGCAGGAAGCGGCCCAGGGGCGAGTCGCAACCGCGAGGGCGCGCCCGCAGCCGCGGCCAGGGCGCCCAGACTCCCCGAGACGAGCAGCCGCGCAAGGCTTCAAAGCCAGGCGGCGCCGCCGGGGCGAGCCAGCCCCCTGCCTTCACCAAGGAGAACTGGCCGGGACTGGAGCGCGCGAACAAGAAGACTGGGCAGCCCTGGCGCCCGTTCTACAACGAGGCCACGGGCTGCCGGAAGGGCGCGGCGCGCCCAGACTCACACGAGCGCGACTACCTTGGGCGCGGCGCCAAACACTGCAGGGCCAAGAACCACCGCGCGGGCCCGCGGTGAACTGCGGAGCCCGGCCCCGGACACTACAATGGGGCCGCGGCGGGCGGGCCAGACTTGCCCAGCCCATGCGCGGAGTCTAATGACAGCCTTGGTGATCACCCAGGCCGGAAACATTCCGCGCAAGGTGCCGGGGCCCGCTTGCAGGGAACGGTCAGCGACAGCCCGCGGGCAGGCGTCATTGAGCAGCCCGGCAGGCGCCGACTGATGGCCCAGATCGGGCGCGCGCTGGCGCTCGGCGAGCAGCCGCGTGGCAGATGCTTCGAGCCGCTTATCCAGCAAGGATGCGGGCCCGAGGCGTTCTTCGAGCAGTTGCCTCGTCTGCAGCACCCGGCTGTTGCCCCCCCGCCAATGCCTGCCGCGTGGATGCAGGCCGCCAGCAGTATGTTGGACCATCTGGATGATTTTCGCAGCTGGCGAGAGACGCAGATGCAGCCCGTCCGCGATGCTGCTCGGCGCCTGACAGGCATCAGAGAGCAGCGCGCCGAAAAGCTACACCCCTACGTCCAGAAGGTAACCGGCCACCTGCGTTCACCCCTTCCTGGAGTGGATGGTGGAACACACCAAGTACAGCGGCGCCGATTACGTCGCCCGGCTGATGCGCGGCAAGCCTTGCCTGGGAGAGATCCCGCCGAGCGGCGTGTTCAGCGAGGACCACAACAGGGGGGCGATTACGATCGAAGATTGGATTGCGTGTCCGCGAGAGCGGAACGAGCGCATGATCCGAGGCATGCGGAGTTCGGGGGACAGTTCGCTCGACCAGATGGCGCGGGGGAAAAAAAAAAAAAAACCCTAGCTGAGCTTTCGATGGGGCGCTGCGAAGGGCCAGGCGAGCTTGCAGAACTTGACCTGGATAGGACATGCCTGACTCCCCTGTGGCCCAAGTGGGAGCTCAAGGAGGACGGCGCGTGGAAATGTCGTAACATTTCTGATTGGGAAGCATCTGGGGGAAACGACACCGTCGCGCTGTGCGAGAAGTATTCTCCCGAGGATTTATCATCGGCACACGCGGTGGCGCGCGTCCTCAGAGAGACCCCCCCAGCAACGCGCGCCTCCAAGGCTTCCGCATCGACTGGGAGATGGCGTTCCGGCAAGACCCGTCATGGCCGGGACGTGCTCCATACCATTACGAATTAGCGTGGAATCCCCAACTTGAGCGGGCCCAGTGGGCAAGGCCGCTGGGAGGGACCTTCGGCAACAAAGCTGCCCAGGCGAATTCCGTCGAACATCCACATGTCATATGTTATTTCGCGAGAGTGTGCTCGGGCATTTTGCTTTGCCATTACTCTGATGACATGTGGGACATCGAGCCGGAACATGCCGCCAAGCACTCCCATGCTCTCGCGTTGGAGATAATGGACCTCATCGGCTGGAGGTGCGACAAAAGCAAGAGCAAACCACCCAGCGAGCACCTTCGCCTACTTGGCGTGGAGCACCGGTTGGGCCTTGAGGCGACAGCTTGGCTCTGCGAGGCCACAATTGACAAGCTGCTATCTCAGATCCGCGCCCGCCGAGCTACAGGGAGGGTGACAGCAGCAGACGCCTCGACGCTGCACGGCTCGTTCAACTGGGTGCGCTCGAGTCTCTGGGGCCGGCGTGGAGCAGCAGTGCTGGCGCCGCTGCGAGCCCGTCAGAGGAGCGGCAACTTCCTCGGAGTCAACAGCGCCATGCTCGCCGTGTTCAGGTGGCTCGAGGAAGCACTCGTCCATGAAAATCGGCGCCGTGTTCTGTGCGACGTATCCTGATTGCCCCTGGTCGTCGCCATCAGCGACGGGGAGGGTTCGGGCAACGTCGCCGCGGCAATGTGGCAACCGGCAGAGCCAGCCGAGCGCCCCCGCATCACTGCGACGAGGGGCCCAGAGAACGCGCTGGCGAAGTGGGCGCAGCATGCCTCCAACACGATAGCTCCAATCGAGGGTGTGGGGCCACTGCTTGCCTTAGCCGCGTGGCCGGGCCTGGGGCATCGACTCTGGATCCACTTCATAGACAACGCGGACGCCATGCACGCGCTGATCAAAGGCAACAGCGTGAACGCAGATCTGAACAACGCGATGCACGCCACGTGGAAGATGGTCCACCGGCGACGACTGCATCTGTGGGTCGAGTATGTCAATGCCCACGACAATCCGGTGGACAAGGCCAGTCGAGGGTGCGTGGACGACCTCTACGACCAAGGCTGGGCGCGGGACCCGCCTGGCGATCTATCAATTTTTTTTGCGAGCGCCATGGGGCCTGCACTTCGTCCCCGGGCAGCGGCGCGACAGAAGATATGTCTTTGCCCTTGTATAAAAAGAGGAACAGGCATCGTCCTGAGAGCACAACCCTGCGCTAATGCTCGCGCAACGCCGCGTGAGAATCGCGCAAGGTCAGGCCGCGCGGCCGCTCCTGAGGAGTCGCAGCCGTGCCAGTAACTACGGGCACAGTCGTCCTGAGAACAGCGCCCTGCGTAAATGCCCGCGCAGTGCCGCGTAAAAAACGCGCAAGGTCAAGCCACGCGGCCCCTCTCCGCAATATTCACACATAGTTCAGTGTTCCACACGTCTTTGAATCCCTAGTTGTCGCTGCCCTGCCGTCCATCCATGGCTGTTTGCTCAAAGTTTTTTTCCAGGGCATGAAGGAAGCCCTGCGACCTCTCGTCGAGGCCAGCGCCTCGGGGATCCGCGAGATTGCTCGCGCGGGCTTCCACGCTGGCGCGTCCTGGGCGCTGCTGCCCAGCTGCCCTGCGGCGCCCCCCTGCCCGCCTTACCCGCCCTGCCCCGCGTGCTTCTGCACGCGCGGGGAGGGAGGCGGGGGCGGCGGGGCTCCTGCTGGCGGGGGCGGCGGGGGAGGCAGCCCTCCCTGGTTGACGGCCGCAGGCGGGCCGGTGTGTGACGCGGTCGCCGACGCGGTCGTGGGGGCGCTGCGCGAGGCGGTGGAGGGCTGTGTCGGCGGGGGAGCCGCGATAGGGCTGGTGCTGCTCGCGCTGCTCGCGGGGTTCGGACTCGGACGCCTCAGCCGCGCCGCGTCAGCTCACCTTGAGCCTCGCGATGGCTCTAGTGCCCAGGGGATCCTCGTGGCGACTTCTCCCGGGGTGCAGAGCGGTGGTGCGCTACGCAGGGGGCGACCTCTGGCACGAGCGGATCCTGCTGCACCCAGCAGCCAGTGAGACGGCTGGCGCCGGGCTTCCAGGAGCCTGCTGGGTGGTGTACACCCCCGACCGTGACATGTACATCGAGGAGCTTGAAGGAGGATCGCCCGACGACAGCCCCGTCGAGTGGCTGGAGATGCCGCGCGACTTGCGGCTGCCCAGTGGGCTTGGGCGGGCGTATCGCTTTGAGGAGTCGCCGACGGAGGAGGCGATGAAGGGCCTCTATCGTCGGGCCTTCTCGGCCGCCCATGCCGATGCGGAGGCGCGCGGTGTGCAGCTGGAGACGCCGGCGGCGGTGCGAACTGCAGCAGGGCGAGACGTGGCAGTGCAGGAGGCGCTCGGGGCCAACTTCTTCGGTGGCCGACGGATGACGGGCAAGAGACCTCCTCTCGGTCTGGACCTCGGAGGAGATCACGGGGGCCACCCTGGAACGGCCGCAGCGGCCGCGGAGGGCATCGGCGACAGCGGCGCCCCTGGGCCTGCGGTTGAGGGGACCAGCACGCCACGGTCGAGCGGACGTGTATGGCGAGCAGCCGAGGCCGACGAGCTTTGCCGCATCGCGCTGGGAGACGAGTTGGGGCCTCCTGCGCAGTCTCTCTGCGGCAAGGGGCTGTGCCTTGCAGCGCCCGGGCGAGCCGTGGTGGTGCACCTGACGGGGCTCGACCAGGATTCCTTCGTGATGAGCCTGCGCAGTGGCGAGGGCCACCCCTTGAGCGCTGGCGCCGGGAACGGGGGAGGAGGAGATGCCCGAACACTGACGGTGAAGAGTGGGCCGCGGGGCCGAGGCCGTGAGTGGCGCGAGGTCGTGGACGCCTGCGAGGAGGAGCCGTTCGGTGACTTCCCCGTGGCAGGGCCCCGGTCAGCTTGGTGGTGCTTGGATTTCTTGCGGCGGCGGCGCACCCCTACGGATCACCATTTGATGTTCAAGACGACGGCGAGGCTCCAGTCGGAGCAGTGGGGGGTGCAAGAGCATGAGCAGCTCATGAAGTACATCGAGCTGGCGGGCACTTATGATCAGCTGGACCTCAGCAACTGCGCCTTCGCCGAGGCCATTTTTCGGCGGGCGCAGACCATCGAGTGGAGCTACCACGATCGTTTGCGTGAGGCCGACTCGGCTAGCTCCAAGGACAAGATGAGTCCCGAGGAGTTCTCGGCGTTCAGCGGCTTCAGCAAGGCTGGGGACCTTCTGATGGTGGCCCCTACGCTCCTCGAGTTCGTGAAGGGCCAGGTCGAGAAGGACGCCGCCATCATGAAGAACATCAGGAAGGCCCGAGAAGAACGAGAGCTCCGTCGCAAAGGTCCCAAAGGGGACGGCGGCGGAGGGAAGTCATGACGGCGTCGCGGGAAGGAGGCCTGAGAGCGGCCGCCTCCTTCTCGAGCTTCAAGGCCGCCAAGCCCAAGGGCTCTCCTGCATGCTTACCTGGGCGAATTCAGTTCGACGGAGTTCCAGACCGTCGAGATCTTTTTCCTGTCCCGCTACTTCGGGACGGCCAGGCTCCTGCAGAGGGCGTGGTGAACCGCTCGGCGCGGCGCCGGCTACTGCGGCGTGGCGCTCAAGTGGCTGAAGCCAATCGCGCCCTGGGGGCCCTCAATGATCTGGCTGGTCGGCCGGTGGCGCCCGGCGCTCCTGGCCTGGCGGAGCGGCCACCCCATCGCTTGGTACATGAACGAGTTCGTCATGCTGCCGCCGCGCTGGGCCCCCCGCCACCTGGCCTCACTCCCGCCGGAGCCCTCCGTGAGCTCCGCGGTGCTGGTGTGTACGAGGACATCGACTCGCCAGTCGTCAGCTTCGACGATTCCCTCGTCTCGCTGCCCGAGGCCGGCAACGTTCCTGTGCCGCTTGGGGAGCTGGTTGCAGGCGTGGGCGATCTAGATGTCGAGGCATCAATACACGAGCAGCTCCTTCCACGCAAGGATGCGGAGTCCAACCTCTCTGAGGCTCCGCGACTGCCGTACATGGATGCTGTCCTCCGAGCTCAGCCACATGCCTATGCTGGGTTGGTGCGGCGCTTGCAGGCGGCGGGAATGGTGACTTTCTCTGCCGCGCCACGCGAGAGGTGCGGCCTCTTCTTCGTGCGTAAGAAGTCTGGCAAGCAGCGCATGGTGATTGACTGCCGACGGGCTAACTGCTGGTTCAAGAGGCCTTCGACAGTCGCGCTGGCGACAGGCTCTGCACTTGGAGAGCTAGCCGTGCCAGAGGGTGAGCAGCTCTACGTCGGTCACGTTGACATCTGCGACGCCTTCTATCACTTTGGATTGCCTGAGGCTTTTCGGGATTACTTCGCGCTGCCAGCGGTGAAGGCAGGTGATGTGGGGCTGAGTGTCCTAGGTGGAAGGTCCCTCGCGCCTGGCAGCCGTGTGTGGCCAGTCCTGGCGGTGCTGCCCATGGGCTGGTCGCATGCGCTGTATTGGTGCCAGACCATTCACCGCGGGATCGTGAGCTCCATCCCCGCGCTGCTCGACGTCCCGTTCATGTCAGACAAGAGTGTAGCGCCGCCGGTGCAGCCACTGGCGATGACCATATATGTGGATAATTTTCTCGCCTTGGGCACAGATCCCGAGGCCGTTTCCCGCGCAGTGAAGCTCGTCAACGCAGCCTTGACGTCCAGAGGGTTACCCACTCATGAGGTCTGTATGTGTGATCATGATGCCGACATCCTGGGTTGGGAGATTCGAGGGCGAGAGAGAGAGAGATTCGACCAAAGAGATCAAGGCTGTGGAGACTTCGCATGGCGCTCGATTGTCTTACAAGCAAGGCCGTGGTGAGTCCAAAAGAAGTTGAGAAAGTGTTGGGCCATTGTACCTTTGTAGCACTTCTTTGCCGTGAGTACTTGTCGATCTTCAGGTCCGTCTATGCCTTTATTCGGCGGCTGGGCCACTGTACCGCGGTCCCTCTCTGGGAGTCCGTCCGCTGGGAGCTAAATACGTTCTCGAGTTTGCTGTGTCTGATTTCCAGGAAGCTGCAGGTGTCATGGAGTTCTAAGGTGATGTGCACGGACGCGTCCTTTTGGGGCTTCGGACTGGTCTGCAAGGACCTCGACAAGGACCTCGTGGGCTCGATGGGCTGTTTCTCCGAACGGTGGCGCTTCTTGGGCGACAACAAGGTGCTCTCCAGGGCTTGGGCTGCAGGCTCCGATGACGACGGGATCATGACAAAGCCTCTAGAGAGCTCCAAGGACTTCCAGCAGTTCGTGGGGGATGAGGAGGCTAACAACGAGGCCCGCACGCGGGCCGCTGGACGTCTTCCCGAAGCGGTTCGCGAGGAAGGTTGGGCGGTGGTGGGCTCGCACAAGTGGGGATCTCCGCCTGACAACATCGTGGAGGGGGAAGCCAGGGCTATCGCTTTTGGGGTAAAGCACATCTGCAGATCCACGAAGGCCTTTGACTGTCACCACCTCCTGCTCTCCGACTCCCTCTCGTCCGTCTTGGCCCTGGGCAAGGGCCGATCCTCGGCCCCCGGCGTCAGCGGCGCGCTGCGCTCCGTGGCAGCACATGTCGCGGCGACGGGGCTCCGACTCAGTGCCCGCTGGCTGCCTAGTGAGTGGAACTTTGCCGACGGACCTTCGCGAGGGCTGCGGCGCGCTGGTTACGCTCGTGCTGGAAACGGCCAGGCTGGAGCGTCGCCAGGCGGCGGCCCAGGCGGAGGAGGCCCGCTCGGTCCTGCGGATCCGCTCAGTGCCGCCGAGCCGGGCGACGTCAGCACAGTCGCTTCGGAGGCCTCTCTGCGTCGCCCTGGCTGGCTCGCCACCGCTCTTCAAGGCGCAGGCTACGCCTGCGGTCGACGTGGTGGAGTGGCGGAAGCTGGCCCGGGGCGGAGCCAAGCTGGCCGAAGCGGAGACGCTGGACGTACCACAGCTGAGCACAGTGCGGACGCAGACAGTGACGTCCAGGTTCCAGCAGGTGGGCGCCGAGGTCAACGACTGGCTGGCAGAGCAAGGGTTGCATACGCAGCCGACGCTCTCCCTCGACGGCCAGAGAGGGATCCCGCTGGCTCCCGAGGCTGCCGCCGAGCTGGACGGCAGACTCGCGGGGAGAATGTTGGGGCAGTACCTGGAGGGCGTCGACCACTGGCGTGGAGTTCAAATGCTGGCCGCCCTGCAATGGTGCGACCCGCGTCTCAGCCGCGAATGGGCCCTGGTGCTATCTATATCCACTCGACGGCGAGGAGTCGCGGCCCTGCGAGACGGCAGAGTTCGACGAGAACCCCGTGCTGGACCGCCGCAGCGTGCTCCGCGAGGTTCTCTGAGGGAGGCTCGTTGCCCTGCAGTGCCAGGCTCGCTAACTGTGAGAGTTTTCCTAGAGATCTTTTCAGGCTCTGGGCGCGTCGCACGAGCGATGGCGCGAAAGGGGTATCATGTGCTAGCGTGGGACATTAAGCACGGGCCCTTGTTTGATCTCCGTGACGTTTCGAGGCAACGTCTGATTCGGGGCTGGATCCAAGCCGGGCTCATTTTAGGTGTGCATCTGGGAACGCCGTGTGGCAGCTGGTCGCGCGCCAGAGATATCCAACCTGGTCCTCCCCGTCTCCGCTCCGACACATGTGTCTTAGGCTTGCCCAACTTGATACCGTCGGCACAAGCCGCTGTAGATGTTGGAAATCAGATGATGCGCTTCAGTGTTTCGGTTCTAACCGTCGCCCGCCGCATGCAGGTGCCGTGTTCGATGGAAAACCCGTCCACCTCTCGACTTTGGCTCGCGCCGCCAGTCGCCTCGCTTGTCAGATCCACGCGATGGTCTTTCGTCAGTACAGACTTCTGCCAGTGGGGTACCCCATGGCGGAAGCGCACCAGCTTTCTAGGAACTTACATTGATTTGACCTCCTTGGTGAAGCTGTGCCAGCGCACTCAAGGCTGCTGCAGTCGCACTGGTTTGCCCCACCAAGGTTTGGAGGGGCGTGCGCCCGATCGACGGTTCTGGACCGCCGTAGCCGAGGCGTATCCTTCCCGCCTGTGTCAGCAGTTGGCCCGCGCATTCGATGAAGCTATCGTGTGCCGTAAGGTCTCAGCCATGGCGTCCAAATTGTCAATGTAACACTCAATAAGTAAATGATGACGGCCTTGCGGCCATTCGACTTCGTGTTTTTTGGCACGGTCCGTTTTGGCGCGTGCTAACCTCGAGGTGCAAGCTTCTGTCGCACGCGTCGCTGGTGGCGAGCTCTCTTCCAGAAAAAGTCGGCGCGCCTTGAAGATCGAGGCGCTCCGCGCATGGCAGGTCCAGACAGCTGGGGGTACAGTTCAGTGTTCCACACGTCTTTGAATCCCTAGTTGTCGCTGCCCTGCCGTCCATCCATGGCTGTTTGCTCAAAGTCTCCCTCCCTCCCTCCCCTTTTCTCTATTTAAATAATCTGTCCGCGTTTCCTGGCCAGCTGTTGGCGCGTGCTAACCTCGAGGTGCAAGCTTCTGTCGCACGCGTCGCTGGTGGCGAGCTCCCTTCCAGAAAAAGTCGGCGTGCCTTGAAGATCGAGGCGCTCCGCGCATGGCAGGTCCAGACAGCTGGGGGTACATATATATATATATATATATATATATATATATATATATATATTGTTTGTTGCATGTTCGCTTGCTCGCGCCCCCGCGCCGCGCCGCCCTTCGCGCCGCTTGGGGCGATTAGGCCAGAGAAAAGGGGGAAGAACACATGATGGTAAAGGGCCAAGGGCATCTCGAGGAATCCACGCGACATGGATCGACAATATTTGTCGTCATGGGTGTCATCATCGCCGCCAGCACGTGGACCGCCACATCATCATCATCAGCATCATCATCAGCAGCACCGTCACAATCGTCTCATTATCATCATCATCATCATCATCATCATCATCACCAGTGCCATGATTACCGCCATGGCCATCCGCAACATGTCACCACTACTTGGGCAGCCGCCACCGCTAGCACCACCACCACCTCCTGGACCACAACCGCCGCCACCTTCATGATTCACCATCTGGGCCACCACTGCCATGCTGTTCGCAATAGCAACCGCCATCTGGAACACCACGACCATCCTCGTGAGGCACGGCCACGACCACAAAACCTGGTTTGCACAAGCCAGCGCCACTTGGACCACATGCGTCAACATGCTGTGATTGCACATATGAAAGTGATCGTGGTGACGCTGGCAGCGTTGCGGTGTTTGCACGTGGGCATGCCGATGATGATGGCGGTGCTGTGTTCGGCGGAGGGGGTTGCACAATTGGCAATGGTAGCGATGGTGGTTTATGGAGCGGGGGCGACGTTCACCATATTGAGATGATTGCGATGGTGGTGATGGTTTGTTCTTGAACAGTAATCGTAGAGCGATTGAGGGCCGCGCGGTTGCCTGCTACCGCCACGGCTCAAGCCTTTTCTGTGAGGGGCCTCAGGTGGCTCTCGCGCGGAGGCTCGTGCATGCGCCCTGTGGCCCGCGGCTTGTCGCTCGTCGCGTTCCACGCCGGCGCCGCCAGGCTTGGGCGGCTGCTGGGGGGCTCGCGGCCGCTGGCCCCCGCGCCGCCCGCGCTGGAGGCGGCGAGGCCCGTCCTAGCGCCCGCCCCGGCTTCGCGGGGCTGCCCGGCGGCTGCGCCGCCTCCTGCTGCGCAGGCCGAGGACCTCTGCGCGGCGCTCGCCCAGTGCTCGCCGGCGCTGGCCGTCCCAGCATGGGGCATCTGCCCCAGCCCCTGCCCGGCCTGCCCCAAGCCGGAGCCAGGGCAGTGGTCTTGGGGCAGCGAGCTGGGCTTCGGGCTGCTCGCGCTGTTCGTTTGGGAGCTCTTCGCGCGCGGTGGGCGCGGCCGCCGCTTGCGGCCTGGCGCGCCGCCTGGCAGGCGGCATCGCGGGCTTGCTGCAAGGCTCTCCGCAGGAGGGCGGAGCGCCGCTCGCCTTGGAGGAGGCGCCGGATCGTCGTGTGCCTCGCGGCCGTGGACGTGTTCTGGCTGCGGATGAATGTCGGCGATGAGGTGCTCGTGGCATGCGCCGTTCCTGGCCCTGCGTTGCTGCGCAAGCGCGTGGCGGTGCGCGTCAGCAGCGCGCAGCCTTTGCACGCAGCGGTGGTCTCGCCCGATCACGATCTCTTCATCGAGCACTTCTCGGCGGACAACGCCGACATCGCCTCTTGGCATCTTTGCGGGCCCGGCGGGGCCATTCCCGCAACCGCGGCAGGACAGGCGATCTACGACTTCCAGCCACCGCTGTCGGCGCAGGACTTCTTCGGGTTCGCTGCCGCTGCGGACCGCCCCGTCGTGGCGCACGACGCCCAGCTCGGAGCAGTCGGTGGCGCGGCCGCGGGAGGAGCCGCAGTTCGAGGTGGAGTTGGCGGCGGGGGAGGCCTTGGGGTGGCAGGCGGACCTGGCGGCGGGCTGGCGGCTCTCCTGGGCGGCGGCGGAGGTGCCGGAGGCGGCGGGGCTTCGGCGGGAGGAGGCGCAGGAGCGCTGGTACCTGCAGGCGCCGCGCCGGGAGGAGCAGGAGGCGGCGCGGCAGTTGGTGGCCCACCAGCAGCTGGCGCGCCAGCGGCAGGCGCCGCTGTAGCAGGAGGCGCCGCGGCGGCGGCTGGGCCCGCGGCTGATGGAGGAGGACATGCTGGGCTCGCTGCTGCTCTCGCGGAGGGCGATGGCGACGGCCGCTTGCCCGCCCCAGGTGGCGCTGGATTGGGGGGCGCTTCAGACTGCCGCACCCTGGCCGTTCGCTACGACGCGAACGGCCAGCGTCACAAGTCCTTTGCCGACGCGGTCGCGATCTTGTCGCCCTCGGCGTGGGTCGACTGGCCCGCCCCAGGCCCTCCCACCGCGGCGTGGGTGGCTCGGTTCATGCTGGAGAATGGCGGCAGTGCTCTTGGCCACCATGCGCAGTGGAGGTCGAACATCAGGCTCACGCTGGATGACATCACGGCGTCCACGCACCTGGAGTTCAGCAAGATCTTCGAGACGGCGCTGTGCTACGACCAGCTGGGCATCAGCAACTTGGGTGCGCTCGAACTGGTGTCGCGACAGTTGCAGTTGTGCGAAGAGCGTTATCGTGGCGAGATCCTCGGCACTAAGCTCGGCGACGAGTCCCACCGAAACGGGCGCTACTACTTCACGGGCACGGCGACCATTCGTGGGCCCATGGCGGCCCCAGAGCTCAGCATCTGGATCAGTGAGCAGATCTCCCGCGAGAACGCGATCGCCAAGGAGCGGAGGAAGGCAGGAGAGGAACGCGCACTGGCCCGTCCAAAGAAAGGGGCCAAGGGCGGCAAAGAGGGCGAGTAGCCCTCGGCTGCTCCCTCACGGGCTCGGCTGCCTGCCGCTCCTTGGCCCCGGGCTAGCAGGCTTTTCTGTTTTCGGCTGCTGCGGGATGAGTCGCCAGCGCGACGTGTTTCCGCTACCCACTCTTCCACTTCCTCAGCGCGGAGGTGGCCGCTCTCGAGCAGTCGAACGCCGCGCCCCCCGACGTCTTCACGCGCTCGAATGGGCGAATGATGGCATGCACGCCCTCAACTCTCTCTCTCTCTCTCTCTCTCTCTCTCTCTCTCTCTCTCTCTCTCTCTCTCTCTCTCTCTCTCTCTGGTCGCGGTGGCGACGCAGCTGGGCCGCCGTCGGTTATGCAACAGTCCTGCCTCGAGCACTTGGAGCGCTGCTACTTTGCCGCTGGAGCCCGCCCAGCCGACGCCCACCTCCGCGTGGGCCTACGTGAGCTCTGCGGACCCGCCGCGATGCACGGCGAGACTTCCCCCACCGTCGCGCCCTACAGCAAGGACCTCGTGTCCTGGCCAGCCGTGGGAGCTGCCCCAGTGGACTTGGGCAGCGCCCTCTCGATTGAGCACACCTCCTGGCTGAGGGACTTGACGGCCAAGATGCGAAGACCTCCAGCTGCAGCGGCAGCCCTTCGTTCTGAGCTCGGTCTCCACCAGCCTTATGTGGACCCCGCCTTCCGCCACCAGCGCGTCTACGCGGACTTCTGTGAAGGGGGTGCTGGAGCGCGGGGTGGCGCGCCTGGTTCCCGCCCAGGCCGAGGCCTCCGTGCGGCTCTTCTTCGTCAAAAAGAAAGCTGGGCAGCAGCGGATCATCTTCGACACGCGGTTGGCCAGCTGCGACTTCGAGCCGCCGCCGGCCACGCACTTGCCCTCGGCCTCTGGTTGTGCGAGAATGGAGACTAGCGAGTGCGACGTGGTTTGGTACTCCGTGGGCAATGTGCAGAACGCCTTCTACGCCATCTCGGTGCCGCCTGAGCTCGGGTCATGTTTTCGTCTACCACCTGTTCGGGCTGGTCTGGTCGGGCGGCCCTTGGTAGGAGGCGCGCG